CCCGTTTCCCTTTTTTAAATTTTTTTCTTTTTTTTTTTTTTTTTTTTTTTTAATATATAAGAATCAGGTGAGGTTGGTTGTGCGCTGTGGTACCTGAAATAGTGGAAGAGGAAAACTTAACATGTAGTTAGTCCCTGGAGAAGATGAGTGGCTGCTACAGTTGAAAACAAGGATTTATCTGGTCAGTCAATTCACTGGAGACTGTTTTTTCTAGATCTGGGTCTCTATGATAGATTCTTATGAAGATTTTTTAATATCTAGTAAGGCCTGAGGTCCCACTGAAGACTTGCCCAGCGAGGGTCCTGATGGAGAGCCAGCTCTCCTCTACCCAGCCACTTTTGCTTAACAGCAGTAAGGGATAAACCTCTTTGTAAAGTGTGACTGGAATTGATTGACTTTTCCAATTGTGAAGGGAGGGGGAATGGTCCGACGGATCAGCTAGCAGACAGCCAAACACCGATGCGTGGAGACACAGGCTGCCTCAGCATGTTTAATTTCCATTGGAAACACAGTTTAGAATGAACTAAAGCAACAACTGTGTGGCATAAGCAAGAAAGGGTCTCCTACACAGGCACGACACCATGACTGCGTCCAGGCCCCATCTGATACAGATAAACACACTTACTGTCAGCACAGTTTTCAGACTTGATTGCCCAGGATGTCGTGCTACTAAGAATTCGGCAATTTTAATTTCATTTACACCAACATTGCTAGGAATGGTGCCATTTGTAATGCGAGAAGCCGAACAAAACCACACTGTCAGCGACACATGCGAGGTGTTCTTGTGATTACCTTCCTGTCCCCATAATGGTGACTGAGACGGGTGAGCTCACCCGTCAGTGCTTGTTGTTCAGTGTCAAAGCAGCAGGTAAAAGTGGGGTGCTGGAGGATTGGTTAAAAGCATTGTTTGGGCCAGATTGGTGTTTCAGGGGCAATGCAAGTTTTAAAAATCCTCAAGGCTGGGGCAGGTGCTTACGCACAGGCTCATCTTTTTCCCCTGGCTCTGTTTTCATTAGAGAAGAGAAGGGCTGCTGAAACTTCTCATTTTCAGTTGCGTGTCCACTGAGAGTCTCCGCAGAATGGCAGAGGTGAACAGGAGAGCAGAGAAAGTGAAGCAGTGTGAAGTGCAAAAGGATTGCGGTGGTGTCAAATTATCCCGCGATCCATTCATCAGCTCATTAGCTGTCCTTAGGCTAGGCACACCCCTTCCCTTTGCTGGCTCTCAGCTGGTACTGGAGTCCCAGGCTAACTGGGATGCCTTGCCTGTAGTTTGCCAACCACCCATCTCACCAGGGGTGAGCTCAGTGGAGGGCTCAGTAGCTCCGTCTTGGTGACTTGTCCCCATGGGGCTCTGGAGAGGAACAGTGGGAAGCATGCAGGGCCAGCAGGAGGTACAGGGATGAGGGCAGAGATGCCCCAATGGCCACCAAAGTTTGCTTCCTGACAGGATACACTGCGAAGATCTCTAGACGCTCTGTAGGTTATTTTTGGTACTTTCCAAATAATGTTGTTTTAACTATAACCTTTACATTGAATTTCCTGCCATCTGTATACGTGCGCTTCTCAAAACTACAATGTTGTTCTACATCTGCCGTTATTTTCCCCTGAAATTGTGGTTCTACTCCGAAAAAAAGTCTGTAAAAATGGCCTCGCGGGGAACGAGTATAGTGTCCCAGCGAGCTCGTTATTTAATTTGTCCACATTACCACTCTAAAAGAGGCTTTGCTTTGTATCAAAATGGCAACCTTGAGCTGACATTAAAGGGTTAAGCTGGTTTTTTTTTTCCTCCTGCTCCATCATCCCTAGGGATTTTGCTGCTAAACTCTGCCCTCGGGTTAATCTCCATCACCGTGTTTGAGTGGAGGGGCATTTAAGCAATGGAGTTTACGTTCTGGGATCAGGTACAACAGTGGGGTACCCATGCTGAGCAGGAAGCACTAAGCCCACCTACATGGTAGATGATATCCCTGCATTTCTTCCCTTCCAACTTCTGTCCCACAGAGAGTGCCCTGATAGATCAGCCTGACAAAAGCAGAAGATGTCAAATAGACACAGAAATACACAAAATGTTCAAAAGTAGGGATTCCCTAGCCCTGCAGGCTATGGCAGAGCATGGATCAAAGCGGTAGGCAGCTGAGGCATTTGCAGGCACTCTCACCCGCGGCAAGTCTGGGGCCGCAGGTGGGAGGGGATGGAAGAGGTGTTTACTTTCACTCCCTGCCAGTGATGGTCACAGCCCCAGAGAAATGGGGAAACATGGGTGGGAGGGGAAGCATGCTGCTTTCGAGCAGTTTCACTCTTAGCTTGCCTGGCTGTGAGCGTGTAGCTGTGAACTCGTGAGAACGAGCACGAGCACGGGACAGTCACGAGGTGCCCCCACTCAGGACCTGAGCCCCGGCTCCTCGTAATGTTTGGCTAGAACTAGAGAGTGCCAGGACTTTGCTCTGAAGGGCTGGAGCCCATGCAGCAGCCTCAAGGCTTAAGAGAGCTCCTAGGTGTGGATGCCTGCCTCCCCAGTGGGTGCTTGTGGTGCCACACGGGCTGCTCGGACCCAGAGTCCCTTCCTAGAGACACTCACTCACTGCAGACCTGGCCCCTCACCCCGGGCCAGGCACTCTGTGTCCCTCAGTACCCTTGGGCTCAGCAATGTGAAGAAAAGCCAGTGCTTGTGCCCTTGTGGGACATAACCACGGGCCAGTACCTATGCCTGGGGACATGCTGTGTGAGGCACAGCAC